CTACATTTTAGTTTTATTATCTCCAGTGTTGTATCTACAAGATAATGTCTATTACTTACCTCATCAACAAAAATATAAAGAGCCGAGTTTCCCTTTAAAAGCCTCTTTGTCAAACGTCCATTCCATATTCGGCGGTCACCATGAAAGTCTAATCTTGTTCGATTGTCTACTGCGGCTGCGCAGTAAAACCTAGGTTAGAACCCGAGATGAATACAATGATCATGCCGCTGACTAACAAAAGAGTAAACAGACTGCAATCATTGAAAATATCATTATTTTCTAATAGCGGAGCTTCACCCGCGCGCGAAGCTCGTGCGAGGGCGTAGCCCCATGGCTAAGGAAATGTGGTAATCTACCCATCCGAGAAAACTTGGTAATCACGTGACCGTACGCCCGACCGTCCGTCCGCATCACAGGACAACCAATGTTTACTCTCACACTTTCTAGCTAGTTTGGGAGCCCAAGAGAAAACTAATTGCACATTAATGTTGCGATCAATTGACAGCTGTCAAAACAGGGTATCCGCTGACCAGTATCACGTGACCGTACCGCGGGCTCAAGTGTCGACCCATCGAGGTCGAGTATTTTTTTGAAGTTATCCCCTGAGAAATTACCAGTTTCAAATGATCGTAGGCTCAAGTTTTTTCTTTTCCAATGATTTATATGAAATATGTTGTGTTTATGTCACTATGGCCCTGCGCTGTTAAGATTTTGATTTCAAACTGACCTCGGACGCGACAATTCAGCCAGTTTTTTAAAAATACAGGCGGGGAAGACCTTTTCTTACCATGGTCACGCGTTGGTCAAAAATTGACAGGTGAGTTCAAGCGGAAAATTTATGCAGCACTCATGAAAGTTGTTTACTTTGAGAGCTGAAGCTGACAGAGTTTTGTGTCAACTTGTGATGTATTTAGCTGTCTTTTCCACTGGATGTAGAAAAAGAAATACAGCTGCTATCAAGGAGCCTTCTGTTATTCATGGCTGGTTTGTTTATTTTTTATTCTCTCTTGGTTTTTGGTTCAGAAATGCGTAGCTTGTCAAAATTCGGTAATCCGATTTCGGACTGCATCGTTTTCGTTTTTCACCTTGCTTAATGCGTAAGAGGGCTTAAAAGTCTCAAACAACTGTGGCCTTCCTTGATATCTTTCAGGAACTGAATCTCGAATGGTAAGCCTGAATAGTTATTGTATTTGATGTTTGTGTTTGTTATATCTAATTTCATGAAGTCGAGCACAATTTATGCCGCAAGTTTATACACGTTTGTAAGATTTGAGTCAATGATCTGACCTAGTATCAGGTTAGATATAAGCTTAGAGAACTTTAAAAGGCCTTCAAATATATTTTCTCACCGCAAATAAAAAGAAAACGTCCCGACGAATATTTAGCGATAAATTTGGCTGTAGAAGGAAAACTTTGAGCGATTTTCTTGCTTCGAGGAGTGGCATCTTTGAAAAATGCAAACACCGGGAGGCCGGCTGAAATTAAAGTAAAACATAATTAACGACTCAGGATTTTTAGAGACACTTTAATACTTGTCTTCGTGAATGAAAATTGTTGTCTCTGTGAATGTTCCACCGAATTATCTTTCTTTTATTGATTGTTAGTAGTCTCTTGCAATTTTAATAGCTCGTCCGTGGCGTTTGTTTTCATCGTTCATGGACATCGCTTGCAGGAGTACTTTAAATAAATGTCGCGCGTATCAAAAGCTTTATAAGATTACACATCGTTATAACTGAAACCATTAAATAACAAAAAAAAATAAATAAATAAATTCGTTGTTTTGTTGAAGCATAACTCTATTAAAGTTCATTCAAACACTCGACCACACTGACAGCTCGCACTGGAAACGAGAAACGGCCGGCCGTATGGGTGATTTTGGAAATTTTTTGAACGGTTTCGCTAAAAGCCCACGATTGATCGTCCTGAACATTGACTGAGAGCAATTTGTCTAGAAAAATTGTCAAAAAAAATGTAGGTTCTGTTTCACCTCAGATGTGATGTATAAAAAGTATAAAAGGTTGGTTTACACACCCAGGAATTTGTAAAGTAAACCTGTCGAACGCAAAAAAATTCGGCCTGATTTGTTTTCCAAGAATTTGTTTTCGAGGCCTTATCTACAGCTGTGACCAAGAGCCATTATGGCTCTTGAATGTGATCGAAGATGTTTGCTATTTTTTGGGTGTACATATAAGGCTATCAACTCGATGTAAGATGTTTCACTCTAACATAACTTAGCCTTTGCCTCAAAAGTCACATGAATGTGTTCTTAAGTTAACTGATTTGTCGATTACAAGTTTATTGTTTAATTTAAATTACAAATTATTAAGTGAATGGGAGCTTCGCTTTTAGCCCTGGCTAAATCTATATATTATTCAAGAGTGTTATTATGATAAGATAATATTACCTCTGATTTTGAAGATATGGAAATGTCTCCAACAGCTTTTCTGTTACGTCTCCTTCTGTCATCTCTTTGGTAATTTCTACCTTTTTGAATTGCCCCATTTCTGGCTTTTTTATTTGAAACATCTCGATTGTCATTGGCATGAACACATCATTGCCTCTCATTCTAACACCACTTGTTTTTAAGACCACTACACTCCGGTCGTGGAAGTTTGCGTGCGTATCAGATGGCTGCATTGCCGCCATGGCTGCAACCTATTTTAAGAGAAAAGAAACTAATTTAGCCAACTATATAAGATAGCTTTGAATATCAGAAGAGCACCATTCAAAGGATACTTAATTGCAATAAACCGGTGCAGACCCTACGTTGTCAGACAGAAGCAAGTCTGCTCAGTAACTGGTTTGCTTTCCAGTCATGCACTCCTAGAATATATAGATTTAGCTAAACCGGTGCAGACCCTACGTTGTCAGACAGAAGCAAGTCTGCTCAGTAACTGGTTTGCTTTCCAGTCATGCAATCCTAGAATATATAGATTTAGCTAGGGCTAAAAGCGAAGCTCTCGATAATATTTATAGTTTGTTCAATCAAAATATAAAATCGTGTAATGCTTAGCGGCGAAGGCATGCAACGCCGGAAAACGGTGAAAAACAACAATAGGTCTAATTAGCAGAAAGCAACTTTGCACGTACAGCACACTTTATTTGTTCCTTTCGTTTCCGTTGTTTTGCACGACTACAACGTGAAACTTCCAGAAACTTCTTACTTACACGTTTTATGAAGGAAATGTTGTACGTGTTCTCGTTCACTTTTTTTTTTTTTACTGCCGCACATTTTTACCTTGCATTGGTGGCCGCTAGCATTTCTCATTTTGTCAACGCCGCTACAAAATTTTCAAGTTGTTCCTGAAAAAAAAAAAATGCCTATTTTTTTTATCTCTTGCTCTAGATCTCTGTCGCCCTTTTGCTTGTTGAGCTTCGCTGGCCTTCTGCCCACTTTCTCCTTTTCTCCGTCTTTCTCTTGCTCTATATTCCAAATTTGTGGACATGACAATTTATCTAAGCTTGATACTTTAGACAACACGAATACAGAAACAATTTCCGCTTTCCGTTTTCGTCTTTATTGACTCTTTAGTTGTCTCTGCTTTACAAGACGCCGGTGGCTATGCGATTTCCCGCCAAAATAACCTCGAGTTGCATTTGGGTTGCCATACCTGTTGATTGAGTTATTTTACATTGGTATGCCTGTGGTGCGAACGGACGGTAGGTCAGTGGACGGCCACGTGATTACCAAATACTCTCGGAGGGGTAGATTACTTCATTTTCTTATCCATGGTGCTCCGCTGGGGCGATTCGCACGCGAGAGCTCGGCTATAAATGAGTCCCACAGGGCTCAATTTTAGACCCTCTTCTCTTTTGGTCTGTTATTCAAAGGCCCTAGGATGGGAACTTATTTCGAGTTGTGTAAGAAAGCCCATTCCGTGCTCAAGGATGGTGGATTCTTAATCTACTGGCTATGGGCCTCATGGCTTTCGGAACGTTTCAAATTTTGTTAATGTCATTGCAAAATTTTGTCACTTTTGCGAAAGCAATTTATCGTGTGTTGCCAGCAATGAAATTGTCATTATAAGCCTCACCCAGTGACTTTTAACTGCTTTTCATTCGCCTTAGGCGCCAAATTTTTAAAAATGCACTTGAAATGTCTATACAGATATGTATCATGGCAAACCTGAGTCGCAGTAGAAAGGTCATCTTCTTTCCTAAAATTCCTGCCATCATCTACACTTTCCTTTTTATCATCACTGTCATCATTCTTCATATGACCATCACTTTCTTTTTCCCTTTCATCACGATGAACAACTGTCCTATGCAGTTCACTATCACTATCATAAAATTCGCGGTCGTCTTGTGCCTGCAGTTTCGTTACCACTCTGTGCGTTGCATCTTGAGAACAACCCAGAGATGAGCCTTGTTTTTTCTTGTTGATGGATGGCCAGTCTTTCACGTAAACGACCTTAGCTAAAAATACAGAAGGTTCATTTTTAATAGTTCCTTTCCGAGTTCCAAAAAATCTTCACATTAAAAATGATGTCAAATGAGAACCCTTTAAAAAAAAAAGTCTATCTTCACGACAGTAAAACCGTTATTTTAGCACTTTGCACTTAGCCTCGTTTTGAAACGGAGGCATGAAGTCCAAAATGACCTACAAGTACCTTGGGTGATCACTGCATCTGGGTTAAATCGGTTTTTTTTTTTTTTTACAGTAACTACAATGTTTTCCCTAAAAGCCAAAACATTGAAAAGCACACTTGGATGAAGAAGAGAAAAGCTATTAACCAATGTGACCCCTCTCGGCAATTCCATTTCA